CTCCCCCCAACAAAGCAGCCCTTCAAACAAACGGCCCTCTCCCCCCAACAAACGACCCTCTCCCACAAGTAGACCCACCCCTCCCTACCTCTCCCACCCACGTGACTTACCATGTAGAAAAGGCCAGCCAGACGTAGGGGTTGGGTTAGTTAAGTGAGGTGAGGTATGAGGTGTGGCTGGCTGTTGATATTAAACTCTATAGACATCCACGCTCCGTGTTTCCAATAACAGAGGCCAGGAGCAGTGATGATAGTCTGTTACAATGGGCGGACCCAATCACCACTAACCCACCAACCCACTAACCCGCAACCCACTAACCCGCAACCCATTACCCCACTAACCCACAAAATGCACTCTGCTAACTAAAACGCAACAAACCCACCAACCCATTAACACTACCCCACCAGCAACAACCCACCACCCACCGGCCACACCACCAAACACTCAACCGACCCGCAACCTACAAGTCACAAACCTAATGACCATTTAGCCCTGCCAAGTAACCAACAAGCCCGCAACTAACCCATTAACCCACCAACTAATCCACTAACCGACGTCCACTAGCACAAGTAACCGACAAACCCGCAATTAACCCACTAACCCCACTCTGGGGTGGTGGGTAGGCAGAAACAAAGGTTGACGATTTTAGTATATTAGGTGACGCTATTTTGCTTCAAGGTACGAACGTCGTCACCATTACCGTCACCATCACGCTACACCACCGTCGCCTAGCCACTACCGTCACCCTAACCGCCACCCACACCACTACAGCACTAACCGGACGATAAACAGCTTCCTGACACCATTTTCTCTCAACTTAGCGACACCATTTTCTTGTCTGGCCGGACCTTAATTCGTGTTTAATCCTCACATAAATCCTTCCTTTGTACCAGAAGCCGCAGGATCACCCACCCCGTGTTTTTTTATCCTGAGGAGTCACCAGACGGGGTCGCGTCACTGGTTTCTCGTTTCCTCCTTTCTTCCCTCCTTTCTTCCTTCCCTCCCTTTGAATCTGAACCCTTTCTCCCTCCCTCCCAGCAATCCTACACTTATCCTCACCCCAAAGTACCTATCCCCGTGTTCTTAACTACGGCCCCCTTCCCCTTCCCCCCTCCCCACTCACGTTGACCATCCCCATCTTCACCTCACGTCCCTATCCACGTCCTGCTACAGCCCGTCTCCCCAACCACGTTCCTTGTCCCACGTCCCATAACTCATGATGACCATTATCTAGCTTCGTGGTTGATAAGTCATTAAAATCGTGTACCAAACATCCATCTGTCTTGAAGTAAGTTACAGGTGATGATTTTTAATTAAGTTGAAGATTACAGGTGTGTCTCTCTTTACAACGCAAGGATCTGATACATACATGATGGCCTTAATCTGCAGCAACAGGTGGCGAGGTAACGAGTTCTGAATTATGGCCTCCCACTGCTAAAGGTAATAAGGTCTTATTTATGGCCTCACACTGCCGGAGGTAACATAGCCTCACCTCTGGCGTCATTACTGGAGGTAACAAGATCTGATCTATGGCCTCACACTGCTGGAGGTAATAAGGTCTCATGTCTGGCCTCACACTGTTGGAGGTAACAAGGTCTCACCTCTGGCCTCTCTGTTGGAGGTAACAGGACCTCACCTCTGGCCTCACACTGCTGGAGGTAACAGGAAATCACCTCTGGCCTCACACTGCTGGAGGTAACATGTCCTCAGATGGTCCCGGGCGACGTGTGCCTCACCACCTCCGGCAGATAAGCGGATAAGGTCTGACTATAAAACCTGTCTCTTGGGGCCTCTACTGCTGCTCACACACACACACACACACACACACACACACACACACACACACACCAAGAAAAATATAGAGACATCGTCGAAAAAGGTTCCCGAATACGTAGTGGAAAAAAAATATATATGAAAGTGGACAGTACAACTATTTGGCAAGAGGCGGGGAGTACTAGACGGGGTCACACCAACACGGCAGCAGCATCATCCTAACATTTGTGTGCGAGACCCCGGCCCAACTGCCTTTGTTTACATGATCAGCTGTTCTCGTTCACAACCACCGTGAAGGGTAAAGGAGATGAGGGGGGGAGTCACACCAGCTGATGATAATTCTTGCCTCTACCATCTTTGTTTACACGATTAGCTGTTCTCATTCACATCTCTCGTCGGGGTTAGTGGGGTGGGGTGGGGTGGGGTGGGGTGTACTCACCAGGTGATATTGCTCTCCCCGCTGTTTGGAAAGAGGACTTTTATTTTTTTGGGGAGGTTTCATCATCGAAGGCCATACAATTTTCCCTGATTCCACCTCGCGCCATTGAGAACTGTTGTGTTGTGTACCAGAAATTTGTAAAAGGAATTCTCTAAACTTTTTTACATTTGGATAGATATCATTCTTTTCGAGTTGGGACAAAGGGAACAGTGTTTACTTTTCTTATCTCGACAACAGAGGAAAATTATTACCATTACTCAGTAGTGTTTTGAGCATTGAGACCATGGGGAGGTAGTTATATAATGAATTAATTTAAGAAAAGAAAAGAGGAAGAGAGAGAGAGAGTGAATGAGTGAGTGAGTTTTATCTACTGAACAATAAAACAGTGGAAAGGGAAAAGAAAGACAAGAAAAGGCAGTATTTAGTATAGCCAGAAAGAGACAGCATCAACAACTCATGATTAATGAAGGTATTATGTGGCAACTGTGCCTTTAAGAACACCAGGTGGTCTCCCAGTTCAACAAACCCTTCAAGAGGAATACATGACACGATTGCTTTCCTGGGTCTTGATTTAATACGGGAGTCTTAGCGGGGGTGACTCTTACGTGAATGTTAGTGTGGTAAAGATTATAAAGGAAATATATTAGTGAATGTTGAATGTTGTTATATGTTTGGAGGGAGAAAGATGTGTAGTGGTGGATATCGTCAGGTTTTGGGCTCCTTAGGGAGAATTATATTGATGGATATTGTGTGAACTTTTTCCCCGTCTCCCTGTACTGCATAAACCTGTTCCTCTTACTCAGTTACAATGTTCGCTTGGCTCTGATGGTAATACAAGGAGGAAACTTTGAAACATGGTGTACTGGACGTTGCAAGAATATAACTAGTATAATACAGTATATATGATTGTAGAAATTATGTGATAACACGTAAATGATAACATTGAACTCACACTGTAGAAGATAACATCGAAAGAAAGTAGAATTTAGTTTACGATCGAAATATACAGTACTCTTCTCTTCTCTTCTCTTACGATGGGGTCTCAGTGGTAACATCTGTAATTTGTATAATATATAAAACTAAGGCAATTAACAGTTATCCTGAATGAAATGGATAATTGGTTCTAAGGTTTATTAAAATTGGTATATATTCTATTTGATGAGAATATTTTTTTTTATAAACAAAGGGAAAAAGGGAGATATTGTTTAATTATTGCCTGATTTTCATTAATATCCACAGAGAAAGTATATTTTTAAAGAGTTTTTGCCTTTAAACCCTGTGTCGATTTTTCCCCTCTGACTCAGTTACTCAAAGTCGATAATATGTTTCACTGTTACAAGTAGGGGTTTTTTTTCACTGTTAATAGTAGTAGTTTTTTAGTTTTATTTATTTATTTATTTATTTTTCTCTTTTTTTCTTTTTCTTTTCATTTCAGACCTGTCGAAAATACACGTTTTTTTTTTTTTTTATGTCCATCTCAAACCTCTCGTCGCAAAATACACATAAATTAGCATGATCACAATATTTTAATACAATGTTCGCAGGATGTATTTTATCACATGTCTAATAACAATAATAATAAAATACCAGCTAAAAAGACACCGCTGTTTATAATATCTCGGAACTCTCCCCGCCGCTTGTGTTCACCCTAAACTTTCAGCTGAGGCCTAGGGTCAGTTTGTAACGAGGCAGGTGATTGGCTGGCAGACGTACATGCACAGAGTCACCAGCAGTTCTTTAGTATTTAACTATTTATATTCTGATATTTTAAGGGTTGATAACTATACTGTGTTGATCTCTGTTAACTGCCGCACTTGGGGTATTATGTATCACAGAGCCCCCAAGATCACTCCATTATGTATCACAAGAGCCTCCCAAGATCACTCCATTATGTATCACAAGAGCCCCCCCAAGATCACCCCATTATGTATCACAGAGCCCCCCCAAGATCACTCCATTATGTATCACAAGAGCCCCCCCAAGATCACTCCATTATGTATCACAAGAGCCCCCAAGATCACTCCATTATGTATCACAGAGTCACTCCATTATGTATCACAAGAGCCCCCAAGATCACTCCATTATGTATCACAAGAGCCCCAAGATCACCCCATTATGTATCACAAGAAGCCCCCAAGATCACCCCATTATGACAAGAGCCCCAAGATCACCCCATTATGTATCCAAGAGCCTCCCAAGATCACTCCATTATGTATCAGAGCCCCCAAGATCACTCCATTATGTATCACAAGAGCCCCCAAGATCACTACATTATGTATCACAAGAGCCCCCAAGATCACTCCATTATGTATCACAAGAGCCCCAAGATCACCCATTTGTATCACAAGAGCCCCCAAGATCACTCCATTATGTATCACAAGAGCCCCCCAAGATCACCCCATAGTCTACAGAGCCCAGGATCTCATTATGTATCACAAGAGCCCCCCAAGATCACTCCATTATGTCTCACAAAACCCCCAAGATCACCCATTATGTACAACAAGAGCCCCCCAAGATCACCCCATTATGTATCACAAGAGCCCCCAAGATCACTCCATTATGTATCACAAGAGCCCAAGATCACTCCATTATGTATCACAAGAGCCTCCCAAGATCACTCCATTATGTATACAAGAGCCTCAGATCACCCCATTATGTCTAGAGCCCCAGATCATAAGTGTATCACAAGACTCCAAGATCACTCCATTATGTATCACAGAGCCCCCAAGATCACCCCATTATGTAACAAGAAGATCACTCCATTATGTATCACAAGAGCCCCCAAGATCACTCCATTATGTATCACAGAGCCTCCCAAGATCACCCCATTATGTATCACAAGAGCCCCCAAGATCACCCCATTATATCACAAGACCCCCAAGATCACTCCATTATGTATCACAAGAGCCCCAAGATCACTCCATTATGTATCACAAGAGCTCCCCAAAACCACTCCATTATGAATCACAAGAGCTCTCTAGATCACCCCATTATGTATCACAAGAGCCCCAAGATCACCCTCTTATGTATCACAAGAGCCCCAAGATCACCCCATTATCTGTCAAAGAGCCCCCAAGATCACTCCATTATGTATCACAAGAGCCCCCAAGATCACTCCCATTATAATCACAAGAGCCCCCAAGATCACCCATTATGTATCACAAGAGCCCCCAAGATCACTCCATTATGTATCACAAGAGCCTCCCAAGATCAATATGTATCACAAGAGCCTCCCCAAGATCACTCCATTATGTATCACAAGAGCCCCCAAGATCACTCCATGTATCACAAGAGCCTCCCCAAGATCACTCCATTATGTATCACAAGAGCCCCCAAGATCACCTCATTATGTATCACAAGAGCCCCAAGATCACAGTGTGTTTAAAAGGCTCTTGTTATTATTTTTATGTCCCATTTAAAAGATTTTGTCGGCAAATACAGGAAATATTTCTGGGAGAAGATAAATGCGAGAAAGATATTTGGTTTTGTAGCAGCGAAACGACTTACTTTTTCCTTTTTTCTTCCTTCTCTCCTTTTCCCTTACTTTTCCTCTTACTTCTTCCTTCTTACTTTTCCTTCTTACTTCCTACTTCTTTTCCTTCTTCTTCTTCCATCCTCTTTTCTTTTCATCCTCCTTTTTTCTTCCTCTTTTCCTTCTCTCCTCCTCCTCCTCCTCCCTTTTTCTTTCTTCCTCTACTTTTCTCCTTCCTCCTCCTCCTCCTTCCTTCTTTTTGTTTTTCTTCCTCCTCCTTTTCCTTTCCTCCTTCTCCTTCCTTATCCCTCCTTTCTCCTTCCTTTCTTCCTGAAGTCAAACGAGGAATAGGGGCCCGAATTCTACCCCAGTATGTTGGCTCCTGAACCGCACCTTCCCTCCCGCCCCACCTCACCCCACCCCACCCCACCTCACCCCACCCCACCTCACCCCACCCCACCCCACCCCACCCCACCCCACCCCACCCCACCTCACCTCACCTCACCTCACCCATCCCCAACTTTACCATCCTCACCCTATGCCTCCCAACCCCACTTCCTACCTCCCCACCCCACCATCACCGCCTCCCCACCCCACCTCACCATCACCGCCTCTCCCCACCCCACCTCTGGCTCTCCCCCCCACCTCTGGTCCTCCTACTCCCCCACACCTCCGGCCCTCCCCTTGTTTCTCTGCCCCCCCTTGTTTCCCCCTCCTCCGGCTCCCTCCTTACCTCCCCCAACGTCCCTCCCTTTTACTCTCCCCACTTGGTCCTCCCTTTACCTCCCCCCACCTCCGTCCCTCCCTTTACCTCCCCCCACCTCTGGCCCTCCCTTTTACCCCTCCCCCACCTCCTCCGTCCCTCCTCCTTTACCTCCCCACCTCTGGTCCCTCCCCTACCTACCCACCTCCGTCCCTCCTTTTACCTCCCCACCTCTGGCCCACCCCTTACCCCTCCTGTCTCCTCCTTTACCTCCCCACCTCTGGCTCCTCCCTCACTCCGTCAGCCGTCATCTGGTGAGTGCCGGAGGATGTGTGAAGGGAGGAGGCGAAAGAGGTAGTGACTTGTGAGACTGAGCAAGCAAAGCATACCCTCACTTCCATGCGGGGTCCTCTCACCACGTCTGATAGCACCCTCTCTCTCTCTCTCTCTCTCTCTCTCCTGTGGGCCTGACTTCTACCTTAAGCATCTTCAAGTCAGTGGGTGTTTGGCACGTGTGACAACCCCCATATCTTTCCATCTTTATTTATTCCACTTCTTTCTCCAGCTTTATTTTACAATTTTTTCTTTCTTTAATTTATTTTCTGTCTATCTGTCTCTGTCTGTCGCCCCACTGCCTTTCTTTTCATCCCCTTCTACTCATCGCTTTCCTCATTTACTCTCCATTATCTCTCTTCCTCCTCCACCATAATTCCCTGGCATTAATTTTCTTCCCTTTCTTTCAACGTTAACTTCTCTCTCTCTCTCAATCATCCATCCATTTATCTTCCCAGTAAAAAGAGACACACACACACACACACACACACACACACACACATACACACACACACAACACACCACACACGCACACACACACACACACACACACAGGGACGTTTGATTTTAACGATAACAAATTTAATACGGTACACTTTAGCTTTACAATGTCTTCCTTATTAGCTGGGAACAAAGGCTTTACCCCCCACAACCTTACCTCCCTCCCTTGCCCTCTCCCTCACCTTCTTTCCCTCCTTACAGTTCTCCTCCTCACGACTTCACTCTTAACCCCCTTTCTTCTCCTTTTCTCCCCCTCCCAACCTTACCTCCCTGCACGTCCTCTCCCCATTCTCTCCCTCTCACGACTCATTCTAACCCTCATCTTCCCTCTTAATCTTTACCTCCTGCCTCCTCTCCCTCACCTTCTCTTCTCCCCCTTCCAACCCTTACCTCCCCACCTTCCCACTCCCACCCTCACCTTCCCTTACCCACTCTTACCTCCCTATCCTCTCCCTCACCTCGCCTTCCCTTCCCTCACCTCCCTCACCCACCCCAGCAGGAGTCTCAGTGAATCAGAACCTGTCGCGTGAAAAACACCAACACAACTCTCTCTCTCTCTCTCTCTCACAGTTTTAACTCGCTGGTTTATCATTGGCGTCTCTCTTCGGTGTTTTCATTGTAAGGATCGCCTGAGTTGGTCCTGATCTTCCAGTCTATGACTTATCCTTGTGAACGAAGTAACATCGAAAGGTGGATGGATTTACTTGAGACTCCGATAGGAGAATTAGGTCAAGTAAGAGCTCAGGATGTGTTGAAAATATGAAGGATCTTCTTTATTCTTTCTTTCCTCTTAGCTTCCTCATCCTCTTACTCTCTTATTCGCTTCCTCTTCTTCTCCTACTTCTTATTACCTCCCTCTTGGCCTTCTGTTGCCTTTTGCCCATGATTCCTCCCTCTTGCCCATGATTTCTACCTCTTGCCCATATTTCCTACCTCTTCCCCATATTTCCTACCTCTTGCCCTCACCATATAGATCATCTTTATATTCCACGCAGGTAATTAATGTGGAGTTCTGTACCTGTGTAATTAAGGCTTGGGTGGTGACCAGGTAGCACAGGTGATGTTCTTTCTTCCCATTAAAATATGTAACAGGTAATGATGATAACAAGTAATGATGATAACAAGTAATGATGATAACATGTACGATGATATACTATTACTGCAGATAAGTATTGATAAATAATGATTACACATAAATAATTTTCGCTACTATGTATTATTTTAACTAATGATGATATCAACACCACACAATTTAACAATGATAACACTACTTGTAAGAACTCAATATTGATAGTAAAATTAACCAAACCTAACCTAAACCTAAACCTAAACCTAACCTAAACCTAAATCTAAATCTAAACCTAACCTAAACCTAAACCTAAACCTAAACCTAACTAAATCTAAACCTAACCTAACCTAAACCTAAACCTAACCTAAACCTAAACTTAAACCTAAACTAAACTAGACTCGATTAAACTAAAGTCGATTTGACCGGATCACGTGATGTTTAGACATCTCAGTTTGTTTACATCTGATGGCTCCCTAACGCTAACTGCAGGTGTTAGGTTTTATTACATAGTTTACGTTACGTTAGGTTATATTTATGATTAACTTGTATTTGGTTTGGTGTGAGGTTATCTTTGTGCTGCATTTGTTCATGTTATGTTACCGTTGAAGGTGTTAAATCCCAGACCTTGTTCCTCCTTCCCGATGACCCAGACCTTGTTCCTCCTTCCCGACCCAGACCTTGTTCCTCCTTCCCGACCTAGACCTGTTCTCCTTCCTCCCTTCCTGATGACCAGACCTTGTTCCTCCTTCCCGACCCAAATTTCCTCCCCGACGTCCCAGAATCAGCTCAGCTCCCCAAGACGCAAAGCAGGAAAGACAAATGACATCACTTTACCACAACTGAAGAATTATCCGCTGAAATAAGCATAACAGTATCAGATAACTCTCTCTCTCTCTCTCTCTCTCTCTCTCTCTCTCTCTCTCTCTCTCTCTCTCTCTCTCTCTCTCTCTCTCTCAAGTCCAGAATGATTTGTTAGTTGGTCAGTAAGTGGAGGGTTGTTATGTAGCTTGTGTCGAGGGGTGTGTGTGTGTTTGTGTGTGCGAGGGCTGTAGCGATGATATGTAGCATGTGTGGTGCTGTAGTGATGTTATTTAACGTGTGTGTCGTACTGTAGTGTGAGTATATGTGGGGAGGCTGTAGTGATGATATGGCGACCTGTGTAATGGTCAGCATACTGCCTCGCAGGTGAGTGGACCTGGCCTGATCCCGGGCAGGGTGAAACTATGGGTTCTTTTACGCCATTTGCCTCTGTCTACCCAGCAGTAATAACCCTGATGTTAATCGTTTTGAGGATCGTATTCCGGGGTAATGGTTAGCCAGTGCTGGCGAGTTGTCCGGTCTTCTCGGACTATTTCTGACACTGGGTCATATAGCCGTTAACTTAGGGTATGGTTGTTGTGTTCGCGACAGCTTCTGCAACCTTAACTAATCCACGCCTAGGTGGCCCTTAGGCTGGCCATCCTGATTTTCGAGCAGTGATGATATGTAGAGCGTGTGTGGTGTTGTAGTAAAACACACAAGCTACTATACAACACACGATGCATAACATCACTACAGGAGGCGGCGGAGGAGGTAGGCGGCAGAGGAGGTGGCATGGCGGAGGAGGCAGCAGAGGAGCGGCAGAGGAAGCAGCGTCAGGGAGAATATTGCAACAAAAACATAGCCGCGAGTTGAGTTGAGGGAGCTGCCCTGGAGACACCGACGGATGGCCAGTGTTTCCAGCTCCGACGGCCAGATTAGTGCCGCACTTCTCTCTTTCCCATTTATTTCCTGAGGGGTTGAGGGTCTTTCTTCCAGGAGGTGTTGGCAACAGTGTTACTCTTTCTTGTCGTGTCTCACGGGAGTTTAGAGGAAAGTGTTACAGAAAACAGATTTTGAAACTTTCGTGGAAATAATAAGTTTATTTTGATTTCTTAGCTAACTTATTATACTAATGTTTTAAGTGGAAATGTGTTAATAAAGAATGGACTTGAGTGAGGCTTTAACTTGATTAATCTCCTCTCTCTCTCTCTCTCTCTCTCTCTCTCTCTCTCCGTCATGGGGCTCAG